TTTCATGCTCCAGATGCCATGTTACTGTGCCACATACAATGAAAATCTTACACACAATATGGCCGCGACGACCACATCTAGAATTGTCCCCTTAAAAGCACAGATCCTCGAGACTAGATAACCGGTCTCCTTTATTTTTATATTTTTTTTTATTTTTCTCTTATAATTTAAGTTAAAAATATCTGATCTTCTTTTTCTAATATCTGCCTGTATATATTATGCTCCTGTTATGACATCAGGTTTAGAATGTTTAACCTTGGAGTTCCAAGTTCCTTCTACTAGTGCAGTTTTCGGTAAAATTCCGGTATAAGATTGTCCGGGGGAGTTTGTCAATGTGCTCCCCGTACCTTGGGTAGATTAGGATCGCTTGGATCCCCCTACCCAACGTTACACATTTGATGCAGATATTATCCGCCAGCAGCGTTTGCTGCAAACTGTGTTTTTGTTATGTTCTTATTGTACAGCATTTTTCCACACGCTATAATTAATGCATCCCTATACCTCCTGACCCTCTCTCTCTCTTTTCCTCCTTCCCCCACTATGCCTATGTCCTCTTTATCCTCTACCACCAGTCAGGTAGCACAGTGGGCTTTGATCATGACTTATGTGATGGTCTCTCCACAAATTTTGTTGGTTTTTCTAGATGCTTCCTTCCAATATCTGAATCATGACCCTTAAAATTTTAAGCCTTAATGTCCAGGGCCTTAACTCTCCAAATAAGCGAACGCGGGCATTTCATTTTTCCGTTCTTCTCATGCAGACATCGTCTGTTTACAGGAGACTCGTTTCTCTAGGACATCATGCCCCAAATATTTTCATGCCCAATACCCTACCATATACACGGCCAGTGATACCTGTATAAGAAAGGGAGTCCTAATTGGCTTCCGTCGCTCCGCTAACTTTATATGTCACTCCACAGTCTGAGATCCTCTCGGTAGATACCTGATTCTCACAGGGCTCATACATGACTCTGAAGTCACCCTAGTCTCCTATTACGCTCCCAATGCCGGGCAGCTTCCATTTTTTGCCGACCTATTGCATAAAATACTAGCGAGCAGTACGGGCACTGTCATCATGTGTGGGGACTCACACTTGGTTCTACATCCCCATAGAGATAGATCTAAAGACACTCCATCACACTTGACCTCGGCCAAAGCATTTCGGGACCTCATCTCTAATCATGCACTGATAGATAGCTGGAGAGAGGCAAATCCTCATAAAGAAGATTTTACGCATTACTCTTATCCACATGATGTCTTCTCCCGGATAGACCATATTCTCGTCTCCCATTCTCTCCTCCCATCCATCATACATTCAAAACTTATTCCCGTACCATGGTCCGATCACTCTGCGGTCACTTTGATTCTTTCAGGTATCTCCCCTCCAGTTAAACCCTTCTCATGGTGCTTAAATGACTCTACTATCTGACCCCATAACCAAAAGTATCATAACGTCCTGCTTGTCTGATTATGTGGTAAACAATCAGACCCCTGGCGTCTCCCCTACCCTGTTATGGGAGACTCACAAGCCTGTAATTAGGGGGATACAACTAGCATCCCAAGTCAAAAAGGAAAGGCTCAAACATCTAGAGTCCCTGGAACGGGAATACTATTCATGTGCCCAGACCTTCACCTCATCCCCCACAACGTCTAATAAAAACAAACTTGAAACAGCTCGCCAGGCGCTTAATCTCTTATTGACTGGGCACGCGGCTAAACAATTACACCGCACAGCCCACAAGTTCTATCTTAAAGGGAACAGAGCCGACACTATGTTGACTAACCGGTTGCGGTCCCTTGACACCTCCTTTAAACCCTACAGGATAATCACCTGGAAAACACATCTAACTACTAAAATTTTCGCCTGTCTACACTTGGCCCCCCTGTATGTGATCCCTCAGAGGCTGATAACCTCAAATTCCAGACCTCGGCCCGTACCGACAATAGTGTAATTCGTATTGAAGTGCAATGCTTGTATACCACGATAACTTGTTATGTTGTTACCTCTTACTTTCAATAAAAATGTATATGACAAAAAAAAAAAGGTTATTAACCACTTCCGGGCCGCAATACATCTGTAAACGGCGGCCCGCAAAAGTGATTAAAACAAGAACACGGCAGCAGCAGCCGTGTTCTTTGTCCAGCTTTTAACAGCCGATGATTGCTGTTAATGTACAAGCGATACCGTGCACCCCCCCATTGGCTTCCCCGGGCACGTCTGTCGGTGCCCCGGGAGCGGCTCGGCGGGTCTCCCCGCAATGATCGGAGAGAGATTCAGCAGGTTCCAGCCGCTGATCTTAACCTCCGATCACTGGACCCGGAAATGATGTGTATTACATCACTTCCTGTGTCACTCGTTACAGTCTCCGGCTCTTAGAGCCAGGAGAAGAAGCTTCTTTGGGGTCCCAAGGTGACATTAGTGGTCTGAAAGACCCCTGGTGTCTCCATAAAGAGGACCTGTCACACCCTATCTGCTATTACATAGGGGGCTTGTTAGTTCCCTATGTGATAGCAATAGGGTTAGTGTAAAAAAAAAAAGTGTTTAAAAATTATAAAAATGAAAGTAACATAAAAGAAAAATGTAAAAAATGTCCCCCGCCCCCCACATGCACACGCAAACATGCGTCGGTGCGCCTACGTGCGAAAACGACAATTGAGCTACACATGTTACATATCGCCACGAACGTCGGAGTGAGGGCAATAATTCTAGCACTGTCAATCACTGTTAGCACTAAACTGATGAGCGGTAAAAGCGTTTAAAATGTTCCCTATGGGAAATTTGGGGTATTGACTTTTTTGCGGCTTCATGGGCGAACGCAATTTTAAGGCTTGGCATGTTTGGTGTCTATTTACCCGGCGTGACTCAGTCCTTCATATTTTAACAAACAGTTGGGTATTATATTATGTTTCTGTGCACTAAATTTTAATTTAGTTTATTTTTTCCTAAAAATACTGGTTTGATAAACATTTGCGCAAAAACCGTGCGGCATACAAAATTGCAACTAGCATTTTTTTATTCTACACGACCTCTGCTTTCAGAACATACATCATTGTTTGGGGGTTTGAAGCTGTTTTCTAGCCAAAAATATATATTTTATCATGTGTGCGCAAATAGTAAGAAAATGCCCCGGACAGCAAGTGGTTAAAGTAAAACAATGAGCAGAGTGCAATATCCATAGAAATCAGAATCCATATTGGACTGGCTTTAGAGAAGTAAATTCTGATTATTGTGGATTACATGTGTGTATTTAGGCTTAAATAGAAGCCATTGCATAACTCATAGACCATATCGTAGATCAAGAACAATTACTCTGCTGCCATTTTTTTTTACAAAAGTATGAAATCAGAGGAAGTGAAAGCACCACACACACATTCTCCACTACGACTTAGTCCGTAGCACCATAAGGTGTGAAGTGTCCCTTAATGTTTGAGCATCCTCGTAAGAGAGGACTTAAGTAAAACAGATTTTTTATAAATCTTAAAATTGGCTGCTTTTGTTTCCTATGGTCCCTGTGTGTGTTGTAAAGTAGCCACCGATCCAAGCTCACTCCCGTGATGGACTACAATCTCATGTTTAGTTTACTAATTTGTATTAAGATTGTAGTCCATCACAGGAGCTTTACAACACACACAGGGACCATGGGGATCAAAAGTAGCCACCCTCCAGAAGGAAGGACAGTGTCGGTATCAATTCAGAGATGATTTGAGGATCTACAGCTGAGTGATACACAAATAAGATACATTTTTGTTAATAGTTAAGGTACTTGAATGCATTTTTTAAGATTTACCTCCTGAGATTACAGTCATTTTAAATTGAAATTGAATCCAAATTGAACTGACATCTCTAAAGTACCAGAGCTGGTGAAATACAGTAGCCTTCTGGTGCCAGCACTCCAATACTATTGTAACCTTTGTGCAATTTTATGCTTCATTCATTTTTAGTTTTGGCAAATGATAAGCAATGTGACAACATTCGCCATCGCCTTCCTTATATCTGCTCCCTGCTTGTTCTGTGTTGTGTTATGTAGTTGTGCTTTGTTAGCATTCTTGAATCATGTCTATTCTGTTTTTTGGCAGGAGCCACAGCTGCTCCCACACTTTGGAAAGAGTCATCCCAATCAACATAAACCTCATGGACAATGTCCTCACAGGTCCTCTGGTGCTTGCAGCAATCCTTGTAATTGTGGTCACGGGGATCATATATCAATGTCTTTGCCCTCACGAGCTGTAATAATTCTTCCACATAAAGCATGGTGTGGCCTGCTCACTGCATCTCCTATGCAGCCTAGCTAGAGTAGATGTTGCTAGGTGGAGGGGACTGGTTGTTATGCACAAGAATGCACTTAAACATATGTACATGCATTTTACTTGTGCTTCCATTAAAGTCTATGGGGCCAAATAAAACACTATGTAACACCAAAAGAATTACTTGCATCTTTTTCCAAGTCACCAACAGCACAATGCAATAGGTATGAATGGGATCAATAGAAAATAATAGGATTAAACTTGTTGTGCATTGGCACACGACAAATCGCACAGGTTGTCTGATTTTTGTCAGACAAGTAAAAGCCCCCCTTGGGTTGACATCCAAAAGGCCTGAGACTGCTGGAAAAGCATAGTCATTAGACAATCCCAGAAAAGGAGAGGATTATGATATGCAAGGAGAAAGGGGGCTGTGATAAGGAGCTAACTTTTCCTGGAGTAGTCCAATTTTCTATTGAATTTACCTGCAACTTAGCTGGTGGTAGGGCCGCTTTAAGGCCATGTTATTTTCATTTGAGTCTTGTTAAGTTTGAAAAATTCTTAATTTTACCCGGAAAGTGAACTCTTAATTAAGATATCTCTAAACTATAAGTAGTGTGGAAGGTTTCAGCCTCTCTAACCTTCTCCGTAACTGAAGAACCATGTTTTGCTGCTGGTTACATATACTTTGACAAATAAATTCATATATGAGCTTAGCATTTAATATCATGATCACGGATCTACTTATAGTCTAAAAGGTCTCTTTTGAATATGTTTATTTGAAGGTAATGAGGTACTCAGGATATGCTTGGTCATCATGAAACACAACAAACATGGCTGGATTGTTTTGGTCATCTGTTAAACTGTCATAGACGTCAAAGGGATTATTAACTTGACGGCAGGGTGGGGTCTTCATACCTCTTTGCCCTACAGTATAATGACCAACTAACACTTTTGCTAGATACATAAATCTCTCTTCAGTATTTGGATCTGGGGGAGAGTATAACGGTCTGGCTGAGTAACTGGCATCCACAGCAAAGTATACTCCATTCCCAAAGGCAGCAGCTGCAAAAAAAACAAAACAGGATTATTTAGACTAGAAATCTATGTATATATTCTATATAAGTGTATGGGTATGTAATAGAGGAACTGCTGAGTTGACTATAACTATTGGGTGCTTCTCTCTTCTCTAATGATTTAAGGGTACCATATTTTTAGTCATAGTACACTGGGGATCTACCTATATATGAAAACCTCCTACAACCTTTTGGGATACTTAAAGTGATATTAAAGTCAAAAGGTTTTTAAGCTATTTCAGATGCGGATTAAATCACTTGCAATGGATGCTGCTCCGTGATGTTTAAACATTTTAGCAGAATCAGCTGGTCCCCTGAGCACTGGCCCTGATTTCCTGTTTTAGGCTGGCTCCTTTCCCTTGCAGGCTGCTATGGAGCGACCCTTGTGTGTGCTAGTAGGCTGTGTCACAGACTTACTCGGCGCGTCCCGTTGCTCCTGCGACGCGTTGCTCCACGCCTCACGCCGGCTCCGCCCACCGGGTGCGGCCCAGGGTTAAAAGTTCAGAGTGTTCGTCACTCGGCGTACTCTCGTTGTGGAGTGCCGAGTGACGAACGGGAACCTACAACCACCGGTACTTGTGAACCGACGTAAGCAGCAGCACCAGTTGATCACCCCAACAGTGGAACCTCTCAACGGTCAGGAAGGGAGCAGGAGGATTGGACAATTAAGAGCCTTGGTCCCCTTGGAGACTCTGTACCTAGCTGCACTACTAAGCGCAAGTAACCTGGGTCTTTTACTGTAGCAGTTTCCACTGGCAACCAGTCAGTTCACTGTCGCTTTCTCTGTGTTATGGAGGGTCGCATAGCTACCTGTCATTAATCTGTTGCATACTGCTGCCATGAATGCATGAACTGCTACTTGCTTGCAACTCATTATCTCTGTGCTAGGAAGGGTCGCATATCTACCTGTCATTAACCTGTTGCATACTGTTGCCATGAATGCATGAACTGCTACTTGCTTGCAACTCACTATCTCCGTGCTATGAAGGGTGGCATATCTACCTGTCATTAACCTGTTGCTTACTGCTGCCATGAATGCATGACCTGCTACTTGCTTGCCACTGATAATCACATTGTGTTAATAGTTACACCTCTGAGAACTCTAACTTGCCATACTATAGGAGTTGCAGGGCTCATCGGAGGCCTATAAACTCTGCAGACACCCGGTGGCTACAGCTCCACCAGACTCCTGCCCCAAACCCCAGCCTCAGGGCAACTTTATTATTTTAAACGCAGTGGTACATGATGTGTACGGTTTCCCTACCGCACTGAGTGTAATAGGGAATCGCTCACTGAACCACCGCGTACAAACAAATCAGCACCAGTTCTGCAGCTGTGATCCAGTTCATTACATCAGCCTTGACAGGCTGTGTGTGTCTCCACAGTGTTCTGTCCTTTGTGATCTTGTACTAGACAAGAAATTCAGGGAAGCCAAGCTGAGAGAGTTGGAGCCAGCTGTTTGGAAACATGATGATTGTGAGTGCTTGAGTAAAAATGTAAAGAAATAGTTTGCTGGGCAATGTTACATAGTTACATAGTTAGTCACGTTGAAAAAAGACACATGTCCATAGAGTATATTTGTCATACATCAATGTATATTTGTTTGATCTGAATTCATTATTGAAAAACAGTTTGAGTGTTTAATACTACTTTAACTTCTACAGAATTTAGCTCCCCATCACCCAATCTCTCCGACATTTTAAAAGTCGTGAGGCTGTAATCCTGACTTTACTACTCAGTGAGTACATACTACTGGCTTAAAAAAGAACCAGATTATTATTATCATTATACAGGATTTATGTAGCGCCAACAGTTTGCGCAGCGCTTTACAATATAAGGAAGACATTACAATCACAATACAATTCAAGACAAGGTGGTAAGGAGGGCCCTGCCCGTGAGGGCTTACAGTCTAAAAGGGTATCTAAAAGGGTACAATCAGATAAGGTTTGGCTTAATCGCCATTGCACAAGGCACTTTTTTGGGCTGATTTGATGTGCGCTCTAAGGCTATAGAGGTTCAATAGTCGAGGAAATGTTTATGAAATTAATATTTTCAATAAAAAATACACTAAAAATAATTTTTGTGCATGCAAACGCAATATAGTATCCAAATTCTTTGTTGAATATAAAAGAAAAGACTGTAATAACTTCTGGCAAAGACTATGATACTTGAAATTATAAAAATGGAACCATTAAAATGTTAACGGCCCAGCACCTTCACCCACTTTAGACCTTGCCTCCGCTTTACAATTTGGTGTCTTGCTCCAGTAGATTGTCCTTTTGTTTCTAGACATTTAGTGTTTTGTGTGTTCTCTTTTGTTATGTCTTTGGTACCACTGCTACCCGTTTGATTTGTAATTCCTAACCACCTCAGATTTTGCCCTGTCTGATATAACTATTTATGATGTTCCAGTGCTGTGTTGTAAAAGCAACTGAGTATAGTGAAGGCATCTACGGCATCTGGCCGAAACGGTGCACACCAATTTTGGCTATCAATTTCCTTAAGAGGAACCCCACAACAATGTGCTATACTGAGGGGTTTTACAGAATATATTTATAATTAGTGAATGTTTGACCAAGCTGATGTTTCAATGTCTGATGTTCAATGGCCAGAGACATGGCATGTATGTTCCAATTTTCATGAATGTCTGTAATCCTGAAACATTTGTGTGTCACACTTAAAAAAAAAAAAGACAATATAGGGATTAAGCATTCAGGACTGCCTGCTTCGGAGTTAGCTATTAAAGGCTTTCACACCTATATTATGTTTGCCAGTTTCTGCTACTGAGAACTAAATATTTTTTGACTGTTGATTAAGAAATCTTGCAATGCCCTCTAGTGTTTGAAAACAAGTAACCTATTTTCCCAATGTTTTCTACAGTACAGTTAACACCTCATACAAAGTGTAATTAGAGGAAAAATATGTAGACTATTTTTGCTGTCTCTTCCTCTGAATATGCTAGTTTCCTGGCTGTGATATTGATGTCGCTGACCCAGATCAAGTATAAACATGGAATTCTAATTTTTGCTTTTTGTTAAAATACAATAAGGAAAACTAGTGTATTTAAATCACTAAAAGTTAAGGGCAAGGAAGCTTCATTAATTAAATACAAGTAATGTAAAAAAAACCTCCACAAAACAAATCAAGGTAGCAAAGACTGAAGCTGCAAAAAATTCTAATGCTACTAGATTTAAATACCATAAAATGTGCAGGTATATACATTTTTAAGAGGAAGAAGTATACCTGGCTTATCCCCACTTTTTCTATGTCCCGCAGCCTGCTCAGTCCGGGTACTGATGAGATGCCCCGCCTCCTGCAGTGCCCGCACAGTACTGAGGACCGCGCATTGCTTGTGACAGCCGCTGCTTGAGTCAGTGAGAGGCAGCCCCCGACCCTCCGTGCCGCTTCAATGATGGCCCAGCCAGCATGGCATCAAAGGGGCCCGGGGACCACCAAAATTTTCTCGTGGACCACCAGTGGTTCACGGACCACTGGTTGGCGATCGCTGCTCTAAGGAATAGCTTGGTAAATATAATACATTGGAGCACATTCCTAATGATGGCGCCAAAAGGGCTATTTAAGGCTGACACACCCAGACCTCCCTGCTGACTGATCTTCAGCTATTCCGTCTTCCTGGATCCTGTATACCTGTTGATATCCTGCTACCAACCCGGCCTGCTTGACCTTGCTCCTGTTCTGTATTCCTTGACCTCAGCTTGTCTTTGACCTCTCTCCTGCCTGCTCCCTGGATACCACGCTGCCTGCAAGTTACCGACCCGGCCTGTCCCTGATTACGCCCTGCCTTCTGATTCTGTACTTCGTTGCCAGATTGTTGATGACCCGGCTTGTGTTACTCTGCTTCTAGGATCTTGTTACCAACCTGCACCCTGCTGAGAAACCCCTGCAACCTGCACACAGCTTCGACAGGAGTCGCAACCTATCGGCAACTGTGCCACTCCTCGTCCTCACGCACCTGTTTCCACCATCCAGGGGTGTTTGGACTGGAGCAGCAAGAGAGGCCGTCCTCATCATCTCAGGCTCCCCCTAAGGTACACCCCCCGGCACAGCCCAATCTTCCCCTCTTCTCCATGGTTGAAAGCTCGGACAATTCTGGACTGTATTAACCTACCACTCCCCCCTTTTCCTGGCCACCAGGCAGCGAATAAGGTGCGGATGGCACTGCTGGATATACCTTAAGCTTAGTAGTGGAAAAACTACTATACCTTTTTTTCTCTGACGGGACTTGTACTTGCAACAAATGGCATGTTTTAAGAAGGGGTAAAAAGCTAGAATTGGGTAATTATACAACAGTAAGCCTGACTGTATAAATCATTGAAGCTACTGTATTTTGAGGGAAGACATGTAAAAAATATAGCTACAGAGAATCAGCAAGGGTCTTAAAAAGGTGGGTTATGTCTAACATGATCAGATTTTATTATTTAAGTTTAGATGCTATTGTTATTGTAATATATTTGTGTTCCTAAGCAATTAGTACTGATCCCCATAATAACCTGAAGTTGAGAATGCAAGGATTGGGAGAGAATGTTTGTACTTGGGTAAAAAGTATAAAAAGTAGATCCTTGTCTGAGCCAGGAAACTTGACCAGGGCACTACAGAGAAATGGAAGAAAGTCTTATGGACTGATGAATCGAAATTTGAAATCTTCAATTTACCATGGAGGGATTTTTGACACAAAACTCAAACATTTATCAATTAAAACTGCTCCCCTTACAATCCCCCTTTCTTTCTACTTTAAAACATTACATTTACCGTTTCTTTAATTTTAAACATTGCTAGGCACGTTCCCGCTGCTCCTCCATTATGCTGTGACTTCCGGTGTCTTCCTCCTCAATGTGCATGACTGTTCAGGGAAAGCTCGCCGCTCTCTTTTACTAAATTTCCCAGAAGCACAGAGCGCTGTGAACCCACTGTGCTTGTGTAAATCAGCCAGCATTCCTCCCCCTTCCCTCCTTAATGCTCTGGTAATGTTTTGAGGGAGGAGCAGTGAGCATAGGAGATGACCAGCATGTGAGCAGCCAGGAGGCTCTGAGAAAGTCTGAGCCTCGTGACAGCTCACATAGTATGCAAAAAAAAAAAGAGAGATAAGAAGCAGCGCCAGACATATAGCTCACCTCGCACTCCCCCAGCACTCCATCGGTAAAGCAGAAATAGCTGGAGCTGACAGGCGTACCTTCCAAAGAGCAGGCAGAATGCAGATGGAATGGATTTGGGGGAGGAGAGAGAAGGAGTCAGCAGAGGGAGCTTGAAACGTCCTCAGGTCTTATTGTAGTTCTCAGTGTGACTGTGCACAGAGGGTGGCTACTTTTCAGCTCCCACAGAGACCATGGAGAAGAAAAGTAGCCACTGGCAGGAAGTTATCCAAATGGATAAAGAAATACTTTTTTGCAGAATTTTGAAGGTAAATAATGAAAACATGAGTTAACTCATTGTTAAATGACTATATTGTAGATCTTATTATTATTAAATTTTTCAGTTTAGTGTCACTTTAAGTGTGTAACTTCAACTGTCATATATGGAGAAGGAAGAGTGATGATCCATGGTTCTTTAGCTGGATATACAGTTGGCAACTTACACAGACTGACTACACCCTGGACCAAAAGGTGTACCACAGTATTTTGAAGCACCATGCAATGCCCTCTGTGTTACACATAGTTGATCAGGGGTTCATCATGCAGAAGAAAATTACCCAAAATATACTTCCAGGCTATGGCAGAACTACCTTAGAAGGAAAGTACAAGATTATAAGGCTTAAATTATAGAATAGACAGCACATTCTCTAGCCCTAAACCCCATTTAGCTGGTTTGGGATGAACTGGATAGAAGGGTGAAAGGAAGTAAAGGAACCTAAAATTGCAATATATTTATTGGAATTCATGCAACAGTGTTTCATCTCCATGGTAGAAAGAGTGCAACAAGGGTGTGGCTGTTATATCTGCAAAAGGTGGCTATTTGAAATATTCAGAAGTTTAAAATAAAGCATTGTCCAGATCATGAGCACTAAAACATCTACATATTCCAAACAAGCAGTAAAATACTTTTAAACTATCTGTAATTCATTTCTCTATCAGTAAACATTGTGGAGAAATTTAGTTTTCAAAGTTTCAAACACAGTTATTGGAATCTTAGCTCCTTCTTTATTACTTGCTGTTAGAAATTACTCTACAGTCTTTGTTTTGAGTTTGTCAGAAGGAATTATTTTATATTAATAGCACCTAGCACCTTATAGTTTAATGTCTATAGTCCAGGCACGGGTGCACTTTTAGATAAATATGAAACCATTGACCCGTTTATTAGCCTTTGACCAAAAATATATAAAGTATATACAGGGGGTACCAAAAAATGTATACACATTTTAAGAGATTTTATCTATGTATTACTCTTCGAAGTTGAAATGAATTACAGTAGCAATGTGTAGTATGACATTTGCTCAATAGATGTTATTAATCAAATGAATGCTAGCATCACCATGCGACAGGAAGGACAGTCAAAGAAAATGCTGGAAGCACGGTTGTCCAAGGAACGCAAGACCATTTTGAAGTGGTATTTGAAATTCGAGAACGTTGTGGAAGTACAACAACAATGGAGACTTGAGTATGCAACAGAACCTCCAAAATGCCTAACAATTGCACGCATTTGTGATAAGTTTGAGACATGTGGTACTGTGTGTGATGTGCACAAGGCAAGACAAGTGGACACTTTTTGGTCAACGTTGCTCAAGCAGTAGTTCGCCGTAATCAGAAGTGTCTGGATGCTGATATTAACCACTTTGAGCACCTCTTGTAGTTGCAGAAGTCACACGTGACTTGTGTATACATTTTTTTGGCACCCTCTGTGTGTATATGTGTGTATATATGTGTGTGTGTGTGTATATATATCTATATATCTATAAAAAAGGGAAGCATGTCCATTATCCTCTCTGCTTAGTGTAAACACTGAGAAGAGAGAGCTACACTCGCAGCCTTCCAGTCTCAACTGTCAAAGGAGTACCAGTACTGTGCTAGAATTCCTGTATTGGAAGTGACAGATTGAATAAAGAGAACCTGTCACCACCAAATGCTATCACACAGGGGCTTGTTAGCTCCTGTGTGATAGCAATAAAGTTAAGAGAAAACAAATAAAATGTAAATGAAAAAAAATGATTAAAAATTGAGAAACAAATAAGTAAAAAATAATAAGGAAAAAATTATTAAAAATTAAAAAGTAAAAAATAAGATACAAACATTATAAAAAGAAAAAATAATAAGGTAACAAATTAAAAAAAATAAATGATAAAAAAAATGAAAAAAGTGATAAAACAGTAAAAAGAGGAACCTGGCCTGTGGGCAGCAGAGAGAGTAAATCCGGCCTTGTATATAATATATATAAACACTACAAGTATCAGTTTGAAGATGTTTCTCCCAAAGTTCACTAAGATGTCTTACCATGTTGACCTGCAAAACTCCTGTTAAAACCAGTGTAGTTGATGGACTGATAGTTCTTTGGTTCAGTGCCATGGAACAGTTGACGTTCATTCACACCATCAGGCCCATTCTTCTGAATCATGTATTCCTTTCTCAGTGTGTATGCTGTGTGTTGATACTTGTTCTGGATCCTCTCAATCTGATAAAGAATTGGTTTAAAAAATAAACACAAACAAAATCATAATCAACAGGTGTTTAATTATGCTTATTACTTATTTGAAAAGTTTTTATCGCAGACTTTTCGGCAAAGTTGTGGTGTCACTGAATCAATGCCATTTATAGCCCAACAAAATAAAATATCAACAGTGCAAGTCATTTTGAATTTGGGGGTGAATTAGGTTATGGGTAGTCCAGGATTTAATTAGAGTAAGGCTTAGGATCTGGAGCTAAATTTAAAGGTTAGATGAAGGATTACGGTTAGGGAGAGAAAGTATTAAGTGTTAGGATTAGTTTAAAGGTTCATTTTCAGTTAGACCAAGTGTTAGTTTTTTGCTTAAGGTTTAAGTGTTAAGGTAGGGTGTTTTAATTTGTAGGTTAAATATTAAGTAGGGATGCACCAAAATTTCGGCCTCCGAAACTTATTGTCCGAAAATGGCACTTTTGGCAAAACGCCGAAAAGTGCCATCTTTTGGCCGAAATAACGGTGCATCCCTGCTTTCTCTCCTCCCCGCTGGGCGCTGCTCTGTGTCCCCTCTGACACAGCTCAGTATCCAGCAGGGAGGAGAGAAACTATCACAGGAGGCGGAGCGGTATGGGGAGGAGAGCGCTGTGAGTGGACGGCATCTCTCCTCCTCTCCTCAGCATCCTGTCAAAGATCAGGAGAGCAGTGTGGGGGCAGAGACAGCTTGCAGTGCTGTCACAGGAGGATGAGCTCTCCTCCTGCACCGCCCCACCAAGCCTCCTGTGAATAATCAGGAGAGTGGCATTGTGGGGGCGGTGCAGGAGAGGAGTCTCCTTCCCGTTTTCTTCTCTGCCAGACTGCTGCGGATCAAGGGTCTGGTAAGGGATTTTAGGGGGGACCCCATGCATTTTTTGGCATTTGGGTCCCCCCTAAAATTCCTACCAGACCTAAACGGTCTGATATAAATTGGGAGAGGACTCCACGCTTTTTTTATCTTTTTTTATTTTAACGTTTAACAACGCAAGTTAATTCCCAATGACATTTGGGAAAAAATTTTGATGCATCTGAAATTTCGCAATCAGAAGATGTGGATACGCTCGGATTCATTATTTTTTCATTCGGAAATTCAGATGCATCCGAATGTCTGAATTTCTGAAAATTCGGACAGATTTCAATTCGGGAAACAAAACGGATCGCGCATGTATAGTAAATATGCAATGTAAAGAAATACCTTCACAATAGTTCTTTGGACAGTTCTGCTGAAATTGGCTTTAACACGGTTATATTCCTCAGAGTTCTGATCCAATTCCACTGGCCTAAGCAACAGCCCACTCATGTCAGCCCAATTCTCAGGAAGGTTTGTTTCTGAAAAAGCAAGAAGGATCAATTAATATGTGAATATAATTTTAGTATAAAAAATGAATACTACTGTTTTCAGCACTAATATGTATATTTGCTTGGCATGTAACTGTAGGGAATACAGTTCATTTCCAAGCTATCTGCAGGAGAAACAATAGCAATCAGCTAAAAATGTCCAACTCTCTCCCTCAGATATGATAAAATACATATTTACATAACATATTTATGCATACCTTAAAGTGGAACTAAACCCATCTTAGCTCCTATTTGGATATGCAGCTGTTTTGGTGCTGCACACGTAATTACACCAGCAACTTGAGGGCTTGAAAGTTCAGTTCAGAGATTAAATAAGCGCACTGGCAATTATGACAGTTATAAGAAGAGGCTTGCTTTGAATGTAGCATATACTGCGCATGCGCTAGCAGGCAGAGTATTTTAAAAAAACACTGCAGAAATAACATTTGTATGTTTGAATAAGGATTAAATAACAATAATAACTTAAAGTTTATTTCCAGTTTTGCAGCTAAATTGGGATAACGTCTATTTTATATATGTTACATGTTCACATTCACAAAAAATTATTTTTAAAAATGCTTCTTGCAATTTAACTTGCTTTTAATTGGCTTAGGCACCCTATTAGTTACACTTAGTTACAGTGACATTGTAGGCCACCTAACCTAACCACTATTAGGTTTTAGAGAAAAAAATAAAATGTTTGCGTTTTGTTTTTAGGCCCAGAAGTATAAAAAAAATTCTCAAATAAAGGACAAATAAATTAATTTATTTTAATGCATTTGTTTTAGCTGTACTATTTTTCTCAAAAAGAATAATAATCAAAACTGGTAAAGTGTTTTCTTTACTTTTTTTCCTTTTTAAAAAATATTTTATTCATCCTAAGTGAGGCGTTAGGCACACATATGTGATGAATCATATTGCCCTATTTGTCCTCTAAAAAAACAATATATAATGTGTGTGGGTGCACTTAGTAAGAAAGTATATTAGTGCTGTGGAAGAATCACACAGCAAAACTGTAAAAAGTGCATCAGTCATTAAGTAACAGAAACTGAAAAAAAGCTCAGTCATTAAGGGGTCATTAAGGGGTTAATCTTTCTATAAGGACAGGTTGCTTTGGTGCTCAGGAAAACCTGGGTTATGTCATCTTGCCTGCTGCAACAAAACATCTAAAAAGTAAGAAATATTTTTCAAAAATTTAAAGAAATTATTTTTATGAAAAAGTTAAATTGGTGGGATTAGTTACGCATTAAGGTAAAAATTAAAAAGCATATCCCAACAAGAAACACTTGTCTCTGTATACACACTGACAAAAGCCATTACAATTACAAGTAAACAAGTCAAATCTACAGTGTTATATACATACCATTTTTTAAGTCTCTTCGAATAACATTAACTTCTCTATCTCCTCCAAGTGTTGCCATCATTGTCTGAAGATTGACCGTTGCTTGTCTGCTATTTTCAATTGTCACGGTTACAACTCCTGTCCTTGCAACCTGGTATCTATTTTCTAATAACTGGCTAGCTTCAATACTAAATGGGTAGGAATCCTCATCATCTGAATAGCCCCACTGGACCAAGACCCCAGCTTGCTCTGTAGTTACTTTTTGAAGCCTAGCACTTAAAATGGCAGTAAGCTTGGCCTGCACCTTCAGTGCTACTTCAAGAACATCCATTGTACAGCCATTTAGGAAGATACAGCTCTTTACTGTGTCTAGTATCATATTTACTTCAGGTTTTTCATTCACCACTGAGAAGACATCGTGAATCTCATCCATTGAAAATGTTTGCATAAGTGCTTGTTCGATTTTCTCCTCCTTGTATTGTTTATCAAACTCTTCTTTAAGAGACAGTTTTATTTCATTTACATTGTCCATCTGCTCTGTCACAATAACCAACAAGGCTGCAGGAGGTACTGGAATGGGATGCTGAAAAATTGTTATATCTGCTATATGATTGCTAGGAAACCACAGCTGCTGAAATCGAGAAGTGAGCACATCTAGGAAGAAAAATACAGGGAAATAAAATAAATACATGGCAGTTGGACTGAACCCTACAGTTTTTTTAAATCTTTCACTTAAAGTAGATCTTGTCCTATAATGCAAGGTCCACATATGTGGCTGCCCCCACTCCCTTTTCTTGGGAAAACCTCAGGATCCTATTTCTTGTAAATGTAGGCCACAGGACTGTACAAGAGCATGGTCTTGTGAGTATTGGTTATCCTCAACTTTCCAAGAATCCCACAAGAAGACCCACTGATGTCACCCTTATTTAGGTGAGCCCACCAGAAGCCTGGGAGTATGGTAATAATTTTGTATTTTTTCTCTGCAGTGCATTTAGTTATTCATTTCTGTGATACAGTGTTTTAAAATGGAGTATGGGACTTATCTCCTTTCCGACTTCTTTTCTCTTTTGGGTCTTCCCTCAAAAAAGCTGAACTCTGTAATAGGCCTGGGCTTCCATACTTGGATCCCTGTAAGTATGCATATCAATGTTGACTCATGTTATTCTAAATATTCTGTTCTCAAATAGGATGTAGCGTAGCAATCTTTAAGTTAAAATATGAGAACAATTGCTTGTTTCACAGCAAAACTGATGTTTTGCAATTTTTGTTATTAAAAACGTTAATACAAATCTATTGCAATGAAAAAAGGGAATGGGGCAGCCACATTTTAGTGCAAGGCCTAGCTATGGCTTTCTAATTGCTTTTTGTAGTAACACTGTGCTTCTAGCCTGTAGCTCCCATGTTCTGACATGAAGTTTAGCGAGGCCCTGTGCATACTGCTTACTCATCATGTTTGCAGAGTATTCCTTCAAAATCATCTTTATTTCTGCCTTTAATGTTTTCTAGGGAATTGACAATCCTGGAAATATCAGATCCAAAAGAAATTTTCCCCAAAAATGTGAACACTCTACAATATGCAAGTGCAAAGTGCTACAAGTGTTAGAAAAGTGATCTAATTATGGTGGAAGTCACATTAAGAGATCACTGATTTTCAAATTCAATTCTGCAAATGTATTGGTTCTGTATGAAAACAAATATGTGACTTTTGTCTGCCAAACAATAGGAGCAAATCTCATATAAAAGATTTAAACTTAACCTCACATTCCCTCTTATACCGATGAGGAAAATCCCACCTTTGGACAGACAGAGTGGTAGAAGTAGCAACGTTTTATCAACGAAAGTTAATGGCATGTGTGTTTTAAATATACAAAGTGAGTGAAAAAAAAGTGAGCATTAAAAATAGAGCAAATGTTATTTATTTGATGCAAATAAACCCGTCATGAGAGAAATGTGGGGGCGGCTATACTAACCTCTTTCTGAGAATGCAATTGCCTGACCGTTACCCTTGTAAATATGCAGATCAAGAAAGTTGGAAGAAAAGTCAGAAGTCCTTATCTGTTTGTGTTCCAGGTCAGTGACATACAGTATTTAAAGGGAGGTAAAGCCAAACCTTTTTTTTTTCTCAACTTTTTTCTTTACTTCTCTTTTTGGTCACAGGAGTACTTTTACTCCTGTGACCCAAAGCCAGCAGATAGTGGGTAGATAGCTGGCAATAGACAGCACATAGCTGCACTGCAGCTTATAAGGATACTGACAATATTGTCGGGATTCACCCAGCTGCCACATTGACAGCTGGATCTGCCTCTCTAGAGCCAATGACAGTCACTATTCTGTGAAGTATATTTTACTCTCGTAATACTTGTCCTTTAAAGCCACTGGATTAGCAGGCTGCATTTTCAAAAGGGTAGGTCAATGATGGCATCCAAGAAATTTCCCTGTTCAAATATAAAAATGCAATCTTACAAAATGAAATACATTTTGATTTTAATAAAAATAAAAAAAAGAAGTTAAATGGGAATATTTTTTGGCTTGAACAGAGTTGCAGATTGTTAGATACACAAGTGCCAGCTTTTGTACATACTGTATACATAGATGAATACATGATTTATAAGGCTTTTTCTTTCTTTCTTTGTATCATCTTTTTACAAAACATCATCAGCAAAAATGTTAATTCTATTTTTACATTTGTCTATGGGGGAAAACAAGACATTTGAATAAGGGGGTAGGCAGGGGAAACCAATAAAACGGCACATGTCAGTTCAAACAGGAAAAATAAACACAAACCGTCACATAGCATAAATTTAACAACCCTTATGTGCAAAAAGCATTTTAACATAATATTATTGCTTGTAATTATAAGAATATTTAATTAAATTTATGCTGCATCCTTAAAAATGGCATTCCTTTACTCACCCACTGGTTTCCAAGAGTCTCCTAATGCACATCTAAAGTGTTTCCTCAGCTGTGTGCAGAAGATATGGTAGATATGTGGGTGACACGTAACTAGATGAACACAAGTCAAAGAAGACGTATTTCTAGTCCTGGCAAATAAGGATATTGCAGTCACAAAATGGCCAGCCACTTCAACTGGATTAAATCCACATTCACCTAAAAATAAAGACAAAGGAGATGTGATTCACTCTTTTGCATTACAATCTGGAATTAAAATAGATTTTGGGTGGTTTGTACCACGTGATGTACACAACATGTCTACCACTTTGTAGGTGCTAAATAATTTTATTTTGACACAAACAATAGTTGAAAAAAACTGAATTCTTAAGTGTGCATAAGCATTTACCCAGTTTGCTAAATAGAATGTGGCCCAACCAATTAACTTCATAATTCATTAACCATAATTGGTTGATAAAGGTCCAAAAACCTTGTTGATCTTCAGAGCTGTCCTGTGTCTTCTTTGTTCTTCCTGTATTATCACAAGGAGTGAAATTATTCCCCCTAGTTCTTATGAATGATTAAATTACAAAGTAATTAGTCTCCTGGTTGTGGAGTAGCATTTGAGTAGTTTAGTACAAAATTACTGGGGAGGGCTGACACCATTACTTCCACAAAAATGCAGTGTGTTGTCAGTTTACAACAGGGCTGAGTACATTCCTGGCAGATCAGCAAGTATTTTTTCTTTATTTACAGGGATAACGCATTGGGAAATGTGCATGCATTGCAGAAATGTACTGCATTTTTTAAAAATATTTTGCCATGACATACACTTTAATATGACCACACATACACCTTTTGCATTCACAGTGTGATAAACACTGTATGCCAAGGCTCCCTTTTCCTCAGCAACAGGAGGAGCAATCAATCCAGCAGACTCAGGGACACCCACAGAATGCAGAGCTCCGCACAATCAGCACCCAGACTGGCCACAGTCCAGGCATCCCCAAACTGAACAGCGACATTTCAGAGGGCGCTACACTCTCCCCCTACTTGAAAATGGCCTTGTCCTCATAGGCCGGGAAAACACATACAGTATATTTAACACTTCCCATATTCTTGTATATTTAGTGACTAAAGGAACTCATCTAGAAGTTTCTTAAACTTATCTACGCTATCAGCAGATACCATTGCCTGTGGACGAGAATTCCATATTTTGACTACTCGCACAGTAAAAAAAACCCTTACGTGTTCTAAAATTGAACCCCCTTTCTTCTAATCTCTAGTTGTGGCCGCATGTTCTCAATACTGTTCTCGGTGAAAACAACATGTTTGCCTGGAGTTCTTTTTTAAGGGAGATGGGAGTAGGAGCGTTACCAAACAGTCTGTGAGCCAGGAGTCTGTTTTATTGCCCTTGGTATAAATCTGCTGTTTAATCCAACGTAGGGAGTGCTCTGCCTGGTTGGTAAGGCAAAGGTCAAGGTCTGCCCAGACAGCATTCAGTTTCGCTGGACTAGAGGCATTGAAGCACCCTTAAAAATGTCCCAGGTCAGCCTCAAGTTGCTGTATCTGTAGGCAACATTCTCGCTAGTGTTTTGAGACTAGTTGGATCAAATATACCCATATAATGGCTCTATAGGCTTCCCACAGAGTAGTACCAGGGGATACAGAATGTTCATTACATTGAAAATATTCACCAGACCATTTTCACAAATCCGAAACATCCGCAAAAGAGAGAATAGAGTCGTTCATAGTCCAGGGAGATGGAGGAGGAACCTGAAGGAAGAAAGCCCAAAAGACCAGAAACACATCAAGATTGGACCAATTTATAGGAAGAATATGTGAGGAGGTAGCTAAAGGATGGAAGCGTCTATAGCGAAAACATGGTCAACACGAGAGTTGGACTGGTGGGGGTGAGAAAAAAGTAATTGCTAGCAATCAGGAAACATATACAGTTGCGTGGAAAAGTGTTGGCCCCCTTCCTGATTTTTCATTGTTTTGCAAGTTTGTCACACTTTAATGTTTCAGATCATCAAACAAATTTAAATATTAGTCAAAGATAACACAAGTAAACACAACATGCAGTTTTTAAAGCAAGGTTTTTATTATTAAGGGAAAACAAAATCCAAACCCACATGGCCCTGTGTGAAAAAGTGTTTCTACTCTAGGCACACCCAGGCCTGATTACTGCCACACCTGTTCGCAATCAAGAAATCACTTAAAGGTGCCCACACACCTTCCGATTATCGTACGATAATCGCGGGAAATCCCGCGATCGTACGATAATCGCAAGGTGTGTGGGAGGCGTGCGACCGTTTCTACTGTACGGTCGCACGACTTTTGTCTTGCGAACATGTTTGAAAACCAGCAGAGAATCGTACGATTTTCGGCTGGTTTGTGGCATGCTCGTAAGATAATTGCCGCACAGGCCGGTGTGCTCAAGCGCACACTGCACGTTCAGCATTGCGGCCATCGGAAGCCTGCCCCTCAGCGGGGCGGGCTTCCGACTATCGCAAGTACGATCTGCCGCTCCAAGATAGGCAGATCGTACGTTTTTTTAATTATCTTACAACCATCGCAAGACAAAAGTCTTGCGATGGTTGTAAGGTGTATGGCCACCTTAAGACTTGACTGACAAAGTGAACTAGACCAAAAGATCCTCAAAAGCTACACATCATGCCGAGATCCAAAGAAATCCAGGAACAAATGAGAAAGAAAGTAATTGAGATCTATCAATCTGGAAAAGGTTATAAA